ATAGGGGAACCGTTCACATGGCGAGATCACATGCTGCCATGGCCTGAGAAGCGGCCTCATGCTACGCAGAGCGTTAACAACGTAGCGAGATGCGGACGTGCAGTGTTCAGAAGACGTTGGCAGTCGATGTTGGTTGCAGCGCAGCCGGACGGCCACCAGAGAGCTCCCCGGGGCCGTAGCACGGATTATGAAGAAGGAAGGAAGGAGCGACCATGCCATCATGTCATCAACCCACCTTCCAATCTGAAGGACGACAACATCGTGACAATCGATAGCACCGTCTAGTCCTACGAAATGTATTACAACATCCGGAGCTGGTGCTACGGGCCCAAAACAACAGCCATCGACATCTATAACAGGATCTTTCACGCTAAAGAGCCAGTATCGATGGGTATCCGCTGCACAAACAAGGCAACTTCGCCCCTTTGACACTAGTAGTATGACAAAGACAAGGCCTTCCGAGTTCTTCGAGTCAACCAGAATTTGTTTGCGTGGAGGATACACACGAGTATGATGGGTCAATACTAGTTGGGAGTCCTTTGGTATAGCTTGCTTTTCGAGCAAGCATTGACAGTTTGAGGGCACTGCATGGTGCCGGACTACAAATGGGAGTATGGCGTTGGCTGCAGGAAAGTCTCATCTTAAGCAACACCGTGTGATGGCAATGTTTATTGAACAGAAACGTAGTAGCAACGCATGTTATAGGAGTCTATCATCTACCTGCTCTCAACAATGCATAGTTATCTACTCGGCGACTAGTGAGCTAGCAGTTACGACCTCCTGTTTGTATCTTGTTACGAGCTGCTATCTGAAATAGCATTGAACTAACGTATACTGCGCTTCTGAGGTTCTTCTCTATAATATTAGTTTGGCGTTTGTAGGTACGCCAAAGGGCTGTTTGAGCAGAAGCGTAGTGGGCGGCCGTGGCCATGTTCACTACACGAGGCTGATTTGTGCATCACCCTCTGGAACGAAGAGTCGTATATCGTCCATCAGCCATGTATCTTCTGAAATCGTGCTCCATACCATGACGTTCGTTTTATGCGGTTAAGTCTTACTCCAGGTCTCGGAGGTCCTGTTTCTGGATACTAGCAGAATTTATCGGCATGGAGACGTATTCCAGGAGGCTGTATTGCAACCACATGCACATATTCTCGACTTCACAAACTGGCGTTGCTGCGATCCGGACCTTACATACCTATCGAATGACTTTCCACATTGCGATCATACTGTAGGAGGTTCCATTACGAAACTATGCATAAACCCGGATACAGCTCACAACCTTGGAAGACTTCGATTCGGGTATACAATGAAGGATTTGCCGTCAACGGTAGCAACGTGAGGAGCAGGCCCAGTCGACTGATCACATAGAAGCGATAGATGTGCGAGTAGTACTAATGCACACTACACATAGTTGGCGTCGCCTCTGCCTATACACGCCAGAGAGAGAAAGTCGCAGCCGCCCCGCAGAGCTGGAAGATGGCGTGGCTGGAGCTCAGTCGCTTCGGCACGGACGGAGTTATCTCGGCCGGAATCTGCATGACCACCCCCGCGGCCCTATCGCAGCTGCCATTGGTTCCCCGCGAGTCAACCGTGCATGGGTTCGACAATCCTGTCAATGAGCGCATCGCCGCGTAGATGTCTTCTCACCTTCATCAATCTTCGACTACGAGATGCCGCATCAGATCTTCCAGCGATGATGCAGTACCTAACAGTCACATCTCGCTTCCGGTCCGTGACGACAAGTCTGACGGAACCTTCAAGGGGCGTGACGAGCGCAGAGCCATCTGACCTGCGTGTATATCAAACGGCGCCAAAGAGACTGCGAATAGCACGGCAGTTCAAGGGCGACAGCAGAAAAAGGGCCGGCGTGCTGGAGCATACATGGGGCTGCGGCGATGCATGTCGTGGTAGGGTCGAAGATGATGCGCGGCTTTCAAGGGCTTCGAAGTGGAAGATTCGTCCATGCGGGCTAGGTCGTGCTCGAGCAGACTTGACAGTGAAAGCGGAGGAGAGCGTTCGCAGTAGACATGTGTATCGAATTCTCGGCCAGGGATGATAATGATGGAGTCGATGGGCAGACTCGACGCGAAGGGGACGCTAGTGCACTCTGAGCCCGAACCCACCTGGGCACTTCTCATCCTGCCGCTAGCTGTTGTAGCCGACGCGCCGAGCCTTCCTCTTCCACTTTCACTGCTCGCAGCAACGTGGCCAGGTAGAGGCACTGTTTTTGCAGCGTCGCGAGATTCACCTGGTTTCTGTATGCATCTGGACCCATTCCTTATGCGCATCCCTGTTCACCGCCGTGTCGTCATCACCCAGCATGGCTACCTAGACACATCGCAATCCGACCACAACCCGTCCCTCCACCTCGCCTTGTCCGCCGCCTAACTCCAGACACCCGGGCGCATCGTCATGGCCACCGGCGCGAACACGCACGTACCGTCCTCTGGCATTCGGAAGAAGCCACACTCGATCGAGCGATTCCTGCACAACGATGAGCACGAACAAAGAGGCCGGTGGCACTGACTGAGCGGTGCAGTACCGGAGCATGCGCGATAGCGACCCAGAACGCCACGACGTCCGCCCATGTCCTCCAACAGCATAACCTCATTGCTCACAGCTCAAGAGCCGGCGGTCTATATACTCTCCGCTATGGAATGCCAGTGAGCGCTTCCCCAGGCCTTGCCTACCACATGGAACCAGCCGCGTGCATGGTCTGGGTGCATTGAGGTAGACCAAGCGTACGTGAGCACCTCTTCAGTGCAGAGGATGGCGCACACTGGTTTGCGCGGTCTCAGAAACCACGACGTGGGTTTCGCTGGCGTACGCTTCGTGTCGTGATTCACTTCATCATGGCGTAGGCAAAGGTTTGTCAGGCCCAGTAACGGTCCGTGAAGGGTGAAGATGTGGCTGTCTCACTCAGCTTACATGTCGTACATTGCATCAGGGCCGACGGATCACGCATGTCACACATGCTGTTCATCGTCACGACTTTCGATCGTAGCTTTCCAGGTAAATCAAAGTCCGCTCATTGTCTCAGCCAAACCAGGCCGTCACATTATGCGGCGAATGGCTTCCGAGCTGTCTCATGTTCATTTCTTATCGCCCAAGTCAACAATCAGAACAAATGGCCAGGGCCGGCCTTTGAACAATACGGTACATAAGCCCCCGCTTCCTCCATACTACGCTGTCTTCCTCCCACCAACCACATTAAGATTGTACCCTGGGTCTTCTCCTCATCGCATTACAACCGATCATCCGCTTTTGTTTCTCCGTCTCCTGTCAAAGCCCACGCATCTCGTGTTGTCGCATTACCCTATCTACGATGTCATCATTTGAAACTCCACGACCAGCCAAGGTCAGTATACTTGCGACAGCTTCACATGCTGTCTAATCAACTCTCTTCCCAGAACACTATCGAGTCAAGCTGTATAGCATGTGATGAGATTAGTAGCCCATCTCGCCCAAGTATACGCAAGCTTGGTCATGGTACTCCAATCGATGGTCAGGCGCAAGGTATGTGCCTTGGATTCGCTAGTTTCACGGATTCCACTCACATTAATACTACCCAGTGTCAAAAGCCTCCGCTATACGAATTGTCTCACCAACATCCGGTACGCCGCAGCCACGCCTCTACAACCCTACCATGCCACTGAAGTTCGACACTGCGGACCATGACAAGACTAAGCCGGCCAAATCTGATGAAGAAGTGGTTGCAACGACCGGAGGCCTCACTGGAAGGCCCGTGCGTTCCGGCGAGACGTCCCCGCGCGAATCGATGGACAAAGAGAACACCATTGAGTTGCACAAAGTCAGCCACGTAGCTGCAAGCTCAGACGGGATCAACCACGATGCAACTACGCCCTCTTCGTACTTCCGGCGATTCAAATGCCTCCTGCTCTTCTTGCCCATCGCCCTCGCCGCACTGTTCGATCCACCTCCCCTTGAACACGGATTACGCGCGGTCTGGAAATCCGTCTCCAGCGTTCCAAACATCTCCTACGACCTATACAACGTGCTGCTCTGTCTTCCTCTTCGTCCACTCAGTATTGGATCAGATCATGCCTCGTGTCTCGTCGCCGAGCTTCCCAACATGCTTGACAACATCTACGCTTTTCTCGACTCCTACGTCAACCTATGGCGCACATTCGGCATCTTCTTCACGATCATGTTCTCGGTTTTGTCATGGCAATATGTTCGCATCAGCATCGCCATCCTCCTCGCTGTCAATATACTGCTATTGACTGTGTGTGACATGCAGAGACGTGACATTCAGGACCTGGACATGCTCAGGTTGCAGCTCATCTCCTGGCAGCCACCATCCTGCGAATATGCAACTGCAGCAAGGTGTGAAGGCTATTTCGCGTCTGAGGAGTTTGATGCGAAAGTTCGAGATGCAGTCGCATTGCATCGGGAGCAGATGATGCAGGCTGATGTTACCGGGCATGAAGAGGGAAGGCGATCGGGTGCGCAACAGGAGGATGATCTGCAAGTGGGGAAGAAACCCGTGCTACAAGGAAAGAAGAATACTATCACTACGAAACCTGTGACTGCTGTCGTCATGACCCGTTGATGGCGCAGCGGGTCATGATGGTGGTACTGTTGCAGCCAAGCATCCTTGGTTGTCATGCTGCTCAGACACGTTGTCAAGAGCGGCCAGGACGCGAAGGTGCGTAATGGTATCATCTATTGGGTGTCAGCGGGAGGATCTCCATATGTATCACAGTTATTTCCTTGGCATAAGTTGTGTCTTGCATGTATTCACTAGACTATTGTAGTAGGAGCATTCATACAAATGCCCGATCTGTTCAAACACCAGAGTTGCCGAAGATCAACACATAAAGAGAGTAGCATCCAATCATGAGACCCTTACGCTGGAATATAGATCGTGTCAAGGCGAAATCAAGCATTCCATATTTGCCATCAGTGTGACTGTGGATGCGTCCTAAATCTTGTGGATTTGCCCCGACTTCACGACAGGCTTTTGTTTCATCTGCTTACGCCTTAACACTTTCTTCCTGCTCTGCGGTTGAAGTGTCTTCTTTATCGTGCTTTGCGATGATTTGCTCGAGTTCGGATATTTTGAGTCGAAGCGCCGACAATTCTTGCTGAGCTTCGGCTTCTGCGCGTGCAAGCTGCATCACCTGATCGTCGAGTTCCTTTGCACTTTGTGTGCACAAAGAGTTCTGTCCGCAAATATCGCGAAGACTACCCTGGAGTGTCTGGATTTCACTCGCGAGAGAAGCATTTTTGGCTTCAAGCTCGGATATCTTCTCTTGGAGCACCGACTTGTCTTCCTCGGCTTCAGGTTCCACGGCATCAAGATCCTTCAAGGATTCTATCCACTCATCGTAGGTCCGGCAGCACCATTGTGCTCCGTCTATTTTCAACTCGGTCTGAGGGCGATCCTCGGCCTGAAGTGTCTGGATCTCATTCGTGAGATAAGCATTTTTGGCCTTAAGCTCGAGTATCTTCTCTCGGAGCACAGACTTGTCTTTCTTAGCTTCGGATTCTATGCCAGTAAGCTCCTTCAGAGATTCCATCCACTGATCGTAGGTCTGGCAGCACCATTGTTTTGCGTCTAGTGTCAACTTGTGCTGACGGCGATTCTCGGCCTGGAGTGTCTGGACCTCAGTTGTCAGAGACGCAATGGTGGTCTGAAGCTCTAAGATTAGCTTTTCCAGAGCGGCAATGCGGTCAGTGGGGTGTTCGATTTCTATGGAGCCGTTCTCGAGTGAGCAACTTGCTGTGTCCATTGTGTGTTGTGTGTGTCGTGTGGATCTCGTGGTCGACAACTCGTTGTCGTGAGAACGAGAGAGGAAGAAAACGTTAATGCTATACCTGGTCCAATGCAATCGTTGTGTACATCTTGACACAGAACGCTTGCATAATGAATTTGAAACTTATGGATAGTGTGAATCATTGTTGGTAAAGGAGGGGGCTAAAAAGGCGAGTGAGAACGACCTCATCGGCATTGTATTGAAGTACCCACCATATACCAATTGCTGTCAATCATCGAGGTTATCAAAGCCGCTAAGTGCACTGTGTCGCTTCGATTCGGTTTGACGAATTGGGTCCTAAGCTGCACAGCTAAATTGCATGACCGCGTCAGTCCCGCCAAGATTGCTAATCCATTGATACGGCTCCACAACCCTGAATATGTGCATTGTTTTGAATGCAGAATAGTTTTGACTGGAGAATAGTGCATCAAGTGCAACCTCATGATAATCGAATGATCACTGGCATTTCGAGGAATGTTCTTGACAACGGCTGAGAAAGAACCTTCTCTAGTCTGCGATCCTGTCAAGAGAGAAGAGTGTGAGGGATTTCGGAGCTAAGCCATTGCAAGTGAGTACCAACGAAAGACGTGCTTGTGATGCGAGAAGTGTGATGGTCGATGATGGTGTTGGTCACTGGCAGCCATAGGCGGCTGCTTACGTGGTGGCGGAGTGATTACGTAACGACCTGTCGGTGCCACGCAACTCGGACTTCACAAGGAAACTCAGCCCGTGCCCACCACTGCCGTTATCATCAAAGCCAAATTATGCAGACTGCAAGTTGCTCTACTCGAGACCTGGAGTCAGCGCGAGTCCTCCCACTTCATCCAGCCCCCACCTGGACATCAATCCTCTGCATGAGCCAACCGACGCACGCCTCGTCTGACTTGACGACTGCGATGCTAACGCGACTTGCCTCCAAGGTCGACTAGACGCGAAGCCGATCGATATGATGCGCACGCCTCTGATTCGACGAAGTCAGACAGCTGACCTTCACTATGCCGTATGCTTTGGGGTGTGTCCACTGGGAGAGTGACGTATTGAACAAGATCGCATCACTCCAGAGCCGTCATATAGCAGCCCACCACGCTGTCGTACGTTCTCCTCCGCTGGCTGTCCGAGTGCCCAACTTCCAACGACAAGGCCGGGCTTGTCGAGATGGTGAAGACTTCATAAAGAAGCCCTACCAAGCCTGACCAGTAAAAGCCAACGCTATATGTTCGACGACGATGCTGCGCTTGGCACAAGAAGCGACGGGGCCAACTCGGCTGAGGAGGGAACATTCCTGCTGGGTTGTCGCAACATCACCCAATTCCACCAAATGGTCAACGTCGTGCGAATATGCCTGGCTTTGACCTTTTCTTTGAGCTTCGCATTGTTGACTTAGTTGGGCGCTTTCTTCTAACTTTCGGTGCCCAGTGGGGCGCTGACTGCCTCGTGGTCTAGTCCATGACAGGCATAGCGTCATGCACCCCACAAAAGATCACGAGCGCAGGTCCCCCGTCGAGCTTGTGGCCGCGCTGAACAACTTACCCGGGCAGGGCTTACGCAGCGTTCACCCACCAAACACGATGTGTTGACGATGCTACCACTGCAATTTTTTCGCGCGTGGTAACAATGCATGCGCATGAGCGCCTCTCCCCGCGCCTAGCACATGTGCTCTCACCCCAGGGTTCGCACTTCGGCAGTCAGGGCCTGCGACCTACAAGCTTTGACGCCGCCCATCGGTTCTAACGATGGAAGTCAATGTGAGCTTCGTGCAAACAGGATGGAAGATTTGTATACATCCCACTAACTACAGTTACGGCGCATTTCTCCCATGTGCGCCAACCCCAATTTCGGCGGATCCGTGGACACATCACGAAGCTTGTCCTCAATCTTTTCGCAACGAGCACGAACGGGCACCTGTGAGTCCGACATGCCACATTGAGGTATATCTGCTAACTGGAACAGTCATCGCAGAAAACAACGCTGTCACAGAGCCTCACCCCCACGAAACTATCCCGCTATCGGCCTCCCTACACAACGCGTCACATACCATTCACTCGCATCCACAACGTATACGACTCGACAGGGCCTGGTCCATTGATACCCAGAGCATATGAAGAAGCACTGGTGGAGGAAGCAAGAGGGAGTCGTAACCGGGATACGAACAACGTGGTTGAAGAACAACAAAGCGGCGCAGGCCGGCACTACTTTGAGCAACGGCCTAGTTGCAGACACGAGCCCTGACGGCAGGCATCCTTATGGGAGCACGTGTTTTCGTCCAGCGTGGCATGGGCTACTCGTCCCGCTGCTCGTCTGACAAGATATTCTGCCACCGTACCACATGGGTCTTATCATGGACTGGCCACGAAGCGATTTAGATCTGGGCTCTGAAGAACCGAGCGGAAAGCCGTCAACCACCGGACAAAGTCACTTTGGCACATACATGATCGGGCATCGCGCCTTTGCGACTCCGGGCCATATCGCAATGCATAGGCATAATCCTGAATCCTGGTGGCGGAATAGTGCAGGTGTTTGTCAGTACGGCATCGCCAAAGGTACAGTGTATCTTGCCATGTTTGGGAAGATCTGGGTTGCAATGGTAAGTAAGGAGGGGTGTTCCTGGACAAATTTGATGTGATACGACATGTCCCGTGTAGATACTTCGCCATGCTGTTGGTGCTTGGAACGGACCCGCCGGATAGTGCGATAGTGCACCAGAACTCACAGCAGCTGTACATCGCTTCAAACGAAACCAGAAAAACAGCATCTTGAGATCGGCCGTCTCTTCTCGAGCGGCCTGTCCGGCGTGCGCACTCTCGTTGTGCACTGAACGCCAGACACTATATCTGACCTCTTCTTGCTCTTCCCTTGCTCTCTGTCGTGCTTTTCATATCCTCTGGCTTCTCTTTGTCTTCATTTCAGCCCTTTCTTATCTTCCCTGTGTGCTTTAATCTGCCTCTGTTTGCTCCCCTTGCTTTCCTCTTTCCTCCTTCTGACACCATTCTATGCTCTTCACGCTCATCACGCAGCCACGCCCTGCACTCCTTCATGCCCTAGCCGAGATAAGGTGGTTTGACAGAAGTCGAAACGCCTGAACATGCATATGATGGCAACATGAGCGGCCTTAATTGTCATGAGCTGGTCAACGAGTGGAGCGCTGCGACCACCACCCGAGTGGCCGCTGTTTACATCTCCGTTCGCGAACTTATCCACATCTGCCTAACCGTCCATTACAATCCTTCCGAGGAAATCCCTTTGTTCTCGTCACCACGAAAGGGCTGCCAAACACCGATCGCGAAGATGCTAGATGCAGGAGACAGTATGCAACGTCACTGTCATATTTATACGGAGGTCTTCGCCCGTTACCTGCGATCGTGCGACGTCCACGCAAGCTTGGGGTGGCTCCACGATTTACACACAGTAGTGGCGACATCGGTGGTAGCAGATGTGCTTCGCTTCCTCCTTCCAGACGTCGTTGCTTTCAGCTGCATCACATTCCGGACCGACTATCATCAGGTACTGCATACTGCAGGAACTCAGTATCTCTGCAATCCCTACCAGGCGAGCTGCCGTTATTATTATGCTTACGTTGGGCCTGATTCGTTCTTTCTGATGCTCTCAGGTACCACTCACGCGGCTCCATGAGACCACTCATGCCTTGAACCATTAGAAGGCGACCTCAATCCGAGATCGCAGTTGCAGCTTTCAGGAGGAGCCACTATATCATGATGCGCTGTGTTGAGGAATTTGTTGTGCAGACATACCCGCATCCCGATCGGCTTGACAGTTTTTGCAACCTGATGGGGCGCACTGGCGCACACTGGACTACGTCCACTTCAGCCGAACCAGGGAAGCTTCATCACGAAGCCGAACGAAAACCTCCCCTCAATCACGTCGTCAATGCAGCACATGAGCTAACTTCTCATGTTCCAGAGACACCCACGTGAATCTCTCCCCTTCCCGCGCGCTAGCGGGTACCGATCTTACGCTAACCCCAACTTGGTCACCACTCGTGCTTCTCCACTCACCGCATTGATAGCACGCAGAGGAAGAAGCGACTGCAGATTTGTGAATGCTTCCGAGTAATGCTCTCCACAAGATTTGCTTTGCTGTATAGAGCGTGGATGCCGACGCAATGAAGGTGAAAGTGAAAGTGAGAGTGAAGATGACATGTCGACTTGCGCTCTCTCTCGACGCGTCGCGGTGAGCGTTTGCTGCATGGCTACCTGCATACGAAGTGACGCGCACTGCGCACGACACATAAACAGAAAATTTCCCTCAGCTGCGCGTGCAAAGACCTTGACACTTTCCCTCTCTTTGCAATCCGGCGGACCACACCTTGGAATCCAACGCCGCCCAGTCAACCTTCAACACACGCCTGACTATGGCGGACGAGACACCCACACAGGGTAGGAGCAATGGAAGTAAGTATTGGATCAGCAATTGTCAATAATACTGCTCATGCTGACCTGTCCACAGGGCACTACAAACCACTGACACCGAGCCCGAGCCCGCAACCTGCCCCCCCTACTACCGCATCACACCCCATACCACCAGTCGCGACGTCTTCCGATCTCCCAGCGGGCCCACAACTGCTGCCGCTCAACCGTTCCATGCCCAAAGGCGGATATTTGGATTTGTCTGGGTCACTTCTCTACCCCATGGCGGACCCGCTGATCCAATTCAACATACCGGAGGCGTCGAGCTCCTCGGCAACAACCTGGGATCATACCACCTTTCTTGTCAAAACCCCAGTACCCCACCAGAACCTTGTGTTGCCGGAAGATGATCTCAACATTGATCTTGGCGAAGACGACCCGATTGACACTGTCGAAACTGGTGGCGATCTAGGTGTAAAGAGGAAGAGACAAGATGACGACGAGGAGGGAGACCAGAGCTTCGATGAGGCGATAGGCAAAAAGACCATGGAAGGGGACAATACAGATGATAAGGGTGAAGCTGTTGGTACGAGCAAAGAAGACGTCACGATAGTGGCCAAAGAAGAGGGGGCTGGAGGAGGAAAGGATGAGATGGGCGGTACGGGAGAAGAGAAACCCCGGCGAGATGTCATGGAAGAAGGCACTGAGGAACTGGTAGTAGAGATCGATGCAGAGGGTCAGAAAGAGGTCGATGGCCTACTACTCCAGGCGCTAGATGAGATGGTGGAAGAACCAGACAAGGAAGCGGACGATGAGGAAGTAGCTGCAGAGTCGCCTCTGAGGGGGCCAGGAACACTCCTCGACCCAAGTCGTTACCCAGAGGCTGCTGGAAGTGGCTCCAATGTCGTCGCAGGCAGGGCAGCCACTACAGCGACCGTACCGGACGTAATGCTTCCGAACGTTCACGTCAACGAGGTCAACAGCGGCGAGGCGAACCTTCGGGGTTTTCTCCAGGGATGGCGCGAGGAGCTGGCAGAGGAGGTGAAAAGCACAACAGCTACATCATCCGCGCCTGGGAAGGAGACGGCATCAGCATCAGGAGGTTCGGTTCGTGACAGTGGTCCTCGTGTGGGCTCTGCCAACCAAGGACCAGTGATGAAGAAGGCTAAGAAGGAGTAACGTTTCGTGTGTTGGGGCAGACTGTCGCATCGGTGGAAACTTTGTATAATTTTGCACGTTGGTGTGAATTGGTGGATCTAATGAGAACGCGGCGAAGGTAGTCATTGGTAGTCTAATACATGGTACAATCTCTTCTCACTTTGGCCATCTAACATGCCAGAAGATTTGCATGACATGCATGTCGGTTTCTGGTGTTATCTCGTTGCATTACTCACCATGTCGCGGCATGTGGCTTATCAGTGATGTGTCTCCATGCGGATCAATACTTAGGTACCGTCGACAAAATGGGAGGCAATGCTCCTTACTGTTGGCGTCAAGTCCGCAAGGCCGGCTAAGAGAGGCTATAACGTGAGGAAAATACTGGTGTGAGGGCTTTGTGTTGATACATCAGCTGCTAAGCAATTCAGATGAGGCGCGCGTGGATGGAGCTTTGCCGGAGAGATGCAGACATGTCAGTCACGTAGCCTGCGGGCCGTGTGATGTTTGAGCAGACCTCGGGAGGGTGGTGGGCTGGATCCAGTTAGGGCCGCGCTAGAAATCTCCACGAGCTCCGATTGGACAGATTGACCCGCGCCGCTCGACACTCCAGCTCAGCATATTGTCTCCATGACCATGGCTCAAGCTTCTCTTCGACGCTTCAGTGCAGTATGAACGCCATAAACCAAACCAGATTGATGTTTCTGAGATATTCGCGGTCTCTAACGCCTGACTGCGAGGACGCAGCGTCCGACACTTTGGCCCGGCAACATGCTCAACATCGACAACACTCCTCTCTTGAACACCGGGATGGAATTGTCGTTGCTATATCGTAGACCTTCTTGGACAACAAGTTGGCGTACACGGAGCCTTTCCCTACTCTCTTCTCAGGCGGCACTCTTGCTTCTTGTCTCTCGAACGCCCCCTTGGCACCCAATGTTCTGCTCTAGGTGACGACATCATCACGCCAGGATGACTGTGGTGGTCTCAACAAAATGACTTACTTCGCCTGCCGCTCTCGAGCTCGGAACTGGCGTGCGCGGCCGGTTCGCAAATGACCGCTTGCGACGAACACGCTGCACAAAGCTGGGATAGTCTGGACGCGGAAGAAGGTCCTCCAACCCCGTAAGTAGATATCTCGCGTGACGCGACGCTGCAAGATTGCTGACATGGTGTAGGCAACAAACTGCTACCGCGACTGAAGCACCCCCTAAGCCTACACGTACATCGGCGCGCTCGACGATCGCACTATACCACCCCAACGTTCGACACTATTCTTCAACCTGCAGACAATCAGGACGGCGCGGCGAGAGCATGTCGCAATCACATTGCTTCCAAGGAAGATGGCATGCGCCGTGGACATGGGTCTGGCGACAACGAAATGGTCGCAACACCGTCAGCATTCACAACGGATTGGAGTCGGGAGGACGACCATTTCTTTCCGAATGTCACGCTTCCCACCGTAGTGGAAGTGCCAGCCCTGCTTGATTCTTGTCTACATGGACTGTGTTGTGCTTCCTGGAGGGGCTGTGGTCATTTGGGGGTGTAGGTCAGGCGCGCGAACAACATCCTGACAGCAGACTCTCTGCACCCATCGAGATGCGAACGTCGGAATCATTTCGCGGTTTGTCGTGCTTCACTGCATGCAGATGGTCGTAACTGCAGGAGTATGATCGAGCTGTCAAGGACAGCTGTGCTGTGACGGACGACGTGCGCGAGCTGCAATATCAGCAAACCTTGATTTCGGCGCCAGCCTGTGTTTGGGGGAAGTTGAAGAGGTGTGAACACATTTCTTCTACTCTGTAGCTTACAAGACCATGGAAAAACACCCCAGGAATTTATCCAGCGCTGCATACATCAGGGTTATCTGCCCAGATGTTGTATCGTTGTCACAGCCTTTTGCAGCAGGCACGTGTTCGACTTGCCGCATGAATTGCCGCTACTATCGCAATGCGCCACCAACGCCCCGCACCTTGTCGCCGAATCTTAGGCGCTGCTGGTGCCTGGCACCAAGTCCTCATCACCAACACTGGATGCACCACCCACCAATAATCGTGTCTCTACACACGCATTCATGATATCGGGCCGCGTCGTCAATATAAGTGTCTCATTTCGAGATTGCTGCCTTGCTGCTTAGTGCCTTGCGCGAACAGGCTAATATCGCGAAACCATCGCGCAGTCACGCCTGCGCTGCTGCTGACCGCCCGCTTTTCTTATATGTATCGCTCGTCTGTCTTCTCCTAGTCTTTAGTACCACAAATCACCATGGAACTGCCCGATGAACTTTACCTCGAGATCTTCTCACATTTGCCCCAGCACCACCTACGCTCAGTATCTCAAACATGTCGCGCTTTTGCGACCATTGTGAGGCCGCTGATGTTCGCCACAATTCATCTAGATGGCTCTCGCCAGAGCAGATTTGGCAGGATGGAGAACAACGAGTGTGTCATGTACCCGGGTCGTTCACGCACGGTAGAGTTGGTTTCTGTGGAAAGTACCGTGGATGAGCTCATCGCGCACGACATTGCGCGGCATGTTCGGAAGCTCAAGTTTAGTCCCAAATTCTACGTAGATGGTAAGTTCAGCCGATGGGTAATTATCCAAAGCCAGGCGGATACTGACCGTTCTCCCAGGGTTCTGGTCGAGGTATCGCCATTGGCTAGAGCGCGAGCAAGACTACGAGGAAGACTTTCATCGAATGTATGATGAAGAAGACTTTGAGACAGACTCTGAAGGTGAGTATGCCGGAATTCGTCGTCTCGCCGCGGAACGACTAGCAAGACCCGATAGAGAGCGCGAATTGATCGAGCAGGCGGAAGCGATCTGGGCCGCCAAGGTAGAGGAGCAGCGCGTAAGGGCAGACGCGATTCTAGCAGCAATGGTCAAGCTCTTCGCACATATGCCGTGCCTGAAAGCTATCGAAGTCCAAGAGTGGCATTGTGACTTGGGTGATTATGGATTCGAAGAGGGCGGCGAGTGAGTATGGCCACATGATTTGCATGACACCAAACTAACGCAGTCAGCGATGAAGTGGACGAGCAGTTCTCTGGATGCGGCACGACCTGGAAGCACCTTGAACTCCTATGCTCCGCCGTTCAAGCGTCGAACAGTCGCATCCAGAGTCTGGTTCTCCCCAAGATTGATCCATCTTCAATCACGACAAGTGCCGTCTTGGAACACATGTTCAGCTCTCTCACTGCACTTTCGTTCAACGCCGAGAGTGTCGACTTCATGCTTGACTCATCCAGCAACGAAGCTGAATCCCTCGCTACCTTGATTCGTTTCTCATCGGAAACGTTACAAACACTCGAGTTCCGCAATATGACCACATCACATCCCCAACTACCGGATGTGGGCGAGCACAAAATCGCAAGGCTCCTTGGTAGCGGCAATGCCACCGACTCAGCAGACATCACACCGCTAGTCTTTCCGGCCTTGACAACTTTGAAGCTACGAAGTTTGGTCCTGGACACACCGTCTCTCATCACCTTTCTATCCCGACAGCCGCGATTGCGATATGCTCGCTTTGAGTACATCTATCTCGCTACCGTGGGGTATAAGTGGAGCGATGTCGCCGAAAAATTGCCGTCGTTGTGCAACCAACTATACATTGGTAACAGTGGGCACGAAAAGTGGGGGCCAGACTCGCCCGCAGCGTACAACCACATCAAGAAATTCTTACCGTTCCAAGACGATATGCCGGCTACATCAGGTTGGCGACTCAATGATGCCGCTTTTCAAAAAGAGATGGATGATGAGATCCAACGAAACATGGATGGCGGAATGAGGTTTTTGCCACAGGAACGCTGGTTTCAGGGCAAGACGAAAGAGGAATGGGTGGATATGATGCGAATGGCCAGTGAACATGCAGAGTTTGAGAGAATTTGAGTAGTTTTCCAGGCAGGGAAGTTAGCTCTTACAAATACAAAGCACCCAGTGTCTTTGTTGTGCGATGATTAGCATCGATAAGAGTGAACAATACAGACATAATGAAGTTGGCAATATGACAAATTGACGCTAGTTTGGCACATTTACATCACAACTCCCAGTACAAGACGTTTCTATAGCACGAATATCATTATAAACGGTGTCGTCGCCAAGAAATCTAACGCGGGCATCAGAGGCACGCTCGCAACTGACCTTTGTCGATAAGAAAGCGATTACATCCCTGATCCTCCAATTCTTCCTGTCCCCTTCGCGTTGCGATTGCGGCTTTACGAACTAGAACCGCGGCTATACACTCGTCCTCCTATGCTTGATTTGCACCGAGCTAGTTGTACCCCCGAGCATACGTCGCCGGAGCTTCGTGAACAGATTCGATCGGCGAAGAGACAACTGACGGGCGGAACTCGCGATCGCCAGTAGGCTCGTAGGTGGAAGGATGTGTTGATGGTGACGTGGCGTTGTGAGCCAAAAGAGAGGATGATGAACCATTGGATACCGGTTTCGAGGGGCTGATGGGATGATGAACGCGTTGCGCCGGCTGTATGTATGGTTGTGTGAACGAGGTCGTGCATTCAAACGAGGAAGCATTGACTTGGCCGTGCATCGCAGTTCGAATTGGTATGAATATCGGTACGACTGGTGGCTTTGGTGTAGATATCTGACGTCGTGTTGTGCGGCGATGAGGGGTGGAAGCTGGGGTATACAAAGGTGCTAACCTACTCACCCGTCGTGATGACCTGGAGCGAGTCGAGACGGTCGACGGTAGTGTTGCGTATGTGCGATGCAGCGGTGGTGTAAGACGACCCGCCATGTAGTCTCTCGTGTAGTTCTCGTTATCTTCCCACAAAGGATCGGCGGCACTGAATACGAAAGGAGTGTCGGCACGGCGATACACAGGTACCAACACCGCATTCGCGAGGTTGGTCTTTTCGCGCAGCGGGACGCGTGCACCCTTGTTTTGCGGCAACGGTCTCCGAAAATTCGTCGTGAAGTTGTCGGCGTAGATGACAAAGTCGGGTTTGTGTCTTCTCTCTCTGTGAGATGTTCGTAGGTAACGTCTCGGATTTGAGATTGCGCAGTCGATTGTGGTTGAAGTGGGATCTGGGGTAGTTACAGGGTGATGTTGCGCAGACGCCTGCATTGTGATGGTAGCAGTGGTGCTCATGATGTCGCCAGAGGCTTTGGTAATGAGATGAGCAGTAGAAGCTTAAGTAGTCACGATCAGCGTCGCATGTGGCATATGTTCGGTTCTTTCTGGTATCTTTCCAGATCGCTTTGGAATGCCCAGAATGAAAGACCAAAGGTGAAGGGGACGGTTTCGGGCGTGGTTCACCCTCTCGCGCTGAACCAGAAGCGCTCTTTGAGATCTTGGTTCACCTGCACATCGAAGTCTCCGTTGTGCCTCTCTTGAGCCATATCCCATTCCTATGGTGTTCAAGGCGCCCGATGTGGACGCTAGTGCATCGGTGGAAGATCTAGATACCTGACACAAGGCAGAAACTAGACAGCCCTGCAGCTTACAATGGACAGCGAAGAGCAAACCGTAAGCCTTAACAAGGTACTTACTTGGTAAAACAGCCGGAAAATGGATGTATTCATGGACTAATGCTGCCCAGTCGTATGGATGTAAGCCTCGTCTCCTCGCCGCACACTCGCGCGTGTTATTGTATGTGCTTCGTGAGATCAGGAGACAGATGAGCTGGATGTCGCATCTTTGGAGTATCGCTGTTGGGGACCGGGATTTGGTCACAGGTTGAGCGTGTTCGAGACATCTTGGAAAGGATACGGCGTAAGCTTCGCTGAAGATGATGAGATGACGTTGAAGATGCAGCTGGCGGCTGACCCCACGCTAAGGCGCGCCTGGAAAAGTACGGGTGCCCGGGTTCGCTTCGGCAATTAAGTGGGTTGCGCGCTGCTACCACGGTCATGGCTGAGCCAGGGGATGATGGCGTTCAACACACCACCGAGATTCACGCGCTCCAGCCTGAGCAGTAGGAACAACGAAATGGTCTATCGAAGCGAGTTAGTACGGCTGGCAGACTGCCTGTATTTTGATCAATGAGGAACATGTGACGAGTTTGGGTCTTCTGTTGACGATGGCGGATGTGGCGTTGGCACGCGCTGAAACCTGGCCCGATTATGAGCCCGACAACTTTGGGACCGCGTGTAAGGGGTTTTACTGTTGCGCATCCTGGTTCTATGCGATCGTGTGCGCTCTGCACAAAGACACCAGATCTCCCCGACGCATCGAGAGTGACTCTGACAAGCACTACGCATGCCCAGGTGGTGTAGGGGGTCGATTCAGTGAGAACCAGGGAATTTCGGGGACGACTGTACAGGTGGCTATAGCGACTCAGAATTTGCGTCGCTGCGACGACAATGCGAGACATTAAGAGCAGATAATCTAGGAATACCAGTACGTAACGACTACGGCATAGCATAATGCATGCCACGTGCCCTTTGCAATTGTTCGTAACGTAGACAGCCTGCAAAGAACGATAATGCTGATATGGCCCGTTACCTGACTGCTTTGAGTATCTATCGGGTTTGACAGTACTTCCATCGCGCCAGCAAGCCAGAAATTCCCCCCTGAACATGATGGCTGCGAGGATGGGCTCCTGCAAAGGACGACGGTGTTGCCGCATCCAGTAGAGCTGGGTGTGGAATGCCGCAGCAATGCCCGCATCCGTCCCCGATCATATTGACGCTTTGATGAGAGCTTCTAGGTTCACTGCCGGCTGGAACTTCTCGGCTTCTGCCACTTTGTCTCTATGAGATTGTATCCCGGTTCAAGGATACGGTCGGGTTCTTCATCGCCCAGATTGTCGGCGCTTCACTGATGACCGTCTCGCATGTGGCAAAGCAACGAAGGGGGAGCAAGTAAATTAGTACGGAACTCACAATTTGACGTAATTTGTTGCAACCATCCCGGATACGATCAAACGACATTGATACCTATAGAAAAAAAGGAGACTACCTAGGTATTGTACAATCGATTCGCCCCCCTTCTAGACCAGCCACTTAGCCGATGTGTAGCAGCTGTCGCTCCCAAGCTGAAGCTGGCTTTCTGATACGAATAGCACCGTACCTGTCGCATGGTTCAAGGAGGCTTCGTTCACAGGGTGGTTGTCGTCGCCGGCCTGCTCCACGCACGTTGGGCCCTCCCATAGGCTCTCTATCGCATGCATATCGTTTGCCATATCGGGATAGGCGAACTGCTGCAAGCTGCGTTAGCAATGACCCATAATGGGAGAAAGAGATGCCAGCTGACCGTGCTGTGACGACTTACTGGAACGTCATGGTCCGGTAAGATGGATGATGAGGGCCAAGGTTGGTTCCAGGACGGGCGCCGTGCGCACTGGACATCTGATAAGACGGAGGACGAGCGCTTGCGCTTCTTCGGTGGAACCGTAGGCAATTCGCATAGTTGAGATAGCCCTGACGAGTCGTACTCTCGGCTCGAACATGGGGCTGCGCGCTCCTCCGGTGATGGTAGAGAAGAACTCAAGGACTCAGGTGTGAACCCACTGCTGATATCGTCGAGCCACAGGCTTATGGAAGTGGCGTTGTCCAATGGAAGACATATGTCGTGAGTTGAGTTCATAGCCGCTTGCGTTGGCAACATTGGAGTCCGCTCCAGTATAGGCGGCGGTGCGGAAAAGCATTCCGGTGTGGGGTCATCCCAATTGGTCACATCGCCGCCACCGAACTCAGGGCTGTTGGACATGTCTTGGAGCCAGGCCAGTGGCAGCTGTTCATCAACCACAGTGGATTGTTGCGCAAAGCTGAGAGTGGGAGAGCCAGCAGCAACGCGATGACTGGTGAATATGGAAGGGATGTGAATTGGGCGCGCTCTTCTTGTTGTTGTAGCTGCGATAAAACTACCAAAGTCTTTGGTCTCCAACGAAATGTCATTCTTGTTCGGTTCTGTCACCCGTATTGAGGGGGCTTCGGGAGCTTCAAGGGTACCGGAGTGATCGTTGTCCAAGGAGAACTTGTCTTTGGCCGAGTCGGCAGTCTGCATCATCATCAGACTGATCGCTGCTGCGATGTCATCGAAGTCTTCAGTGTCGGTTTGCGGACTGGTGGAAGGTTTCGTTGGCTCCATTGTCTGCATGGAACGGGTGCCCGTAGCGGGCGCGAAAGGGTCATGGCCAGCCAGATTCATGAGATCTTTCGTACTTGTGTCAGCGATGGAGTGGACTGGCAATGTCGAGGCTTGCTCTATGGAATCGCTGATGAACGCAGGCGAGAGTTGGCCCTTCAGGATCTTCGGGAATAACGCTACCTCAGTCCCGATGTGCGTCTATATACTTATACTTGTCAAGTATCCAGATCAAGGCCAGCGAAGTTCGCGGCACAGTATTGCCTTGGTCGTGGCGCTAGATCGTGAGACGTTCATGACTAGCGTGTGTTCACACTTGACCCCCATGCGCGCAAGCGAAGTCCCCATGTCAGCCAAAGACATGGCCATTTTCATGAAAACAAAGAACATTCGACTAAATGCGTTCATAAATTACCAGAGCTGGGGCAGGAAGAACATGGTTTTCGACCCATGAGGAGGTCGGGCTTCATCTCGCGCCCCCCATGATTGTGGCAGTCCGGTGGCGGGCACCGTGTCATGGGTACGGGGTAAGCTTTGCTCGGTGACCAAGGTAGCACTTGAATCACTCACATGCAAACAGCGCACCTCACAATAGGAAACGAGCCCTAAGGTCAGCCTGGGTCCAAGACAAGGAAGTGACCGTCGCAGAGGTATGAGGGTGGGCAGACTGTGAGCAGGGTGCATACGTGTCTTGTGTTGGCTCATTGCGGGCACGACCCATGGCATCTAGGAGGAGACATCTGATGCGAGGCGTGGTTGAAAGTATTCAGATGTCTATCCCAATCACTGACATTGCGAGTGGCGACGTTGATATGCATATACTCTTGGTGATGAAGAGAAGTTCCAGGTATGGCTATTCAATCTGGCTCCCGCGAATCTTCTCCAACGATAAAGCAGACTATGCGTACACATAACGATTGGAACATACAGTCTGATCGGTTGCGACTTTGAAGCGAATCCGACCCCCCAACTGGAAAGAACGTCAAGAAAGCAAAGATGGAGAAGAAAGACAGAAGGGAATGAAAAATGGGAAAGAAAGACAAAAGGGAAGGAAAATTGATACGAAGGAAACCCATTAAAGCCGACTGCAACGAGATGCAGCTACTAGTGATGTCGACCACCGCCAACCCGAGGACAGTGAAGACGTACCCATTCAGCCTGTGCGTGATACAACTTGTAGAGACTTGCGTGCACGCCCTCTTGATAATCTCTGGCAAAGTGACTACACTCCTCGTGCAAGTGGCGGTCTACCTCGTTGCGCATCGCCTTATCGGCTAGTACAGGATGCGAGTAGGGCACCGAGAACCCAACATCACCAGCAGAGGTAGCAAAGTCTGCACGCAAAGGCTCGCCGAATCCGTCCATCCAGAAGATCAGAACGCCTCTCGTGAGAAGCCAGTCGGGCGCCGTTACCCCAAACTTCTTGCAGTATTCCGACATTGCGGGATTGACTGGCGGAGTTGATCCGTGGCCATCGGTGCTGACTTTGATCCCGTGGCGGTAATGAATTGTCGATGTCTGGAAGGCGTCGCGCAGAAGCAACAGCATTTTCTGATTCAACTGGCCAAGGAGAAATTGACGTGTGTGAAGTGTCTGGAGGCCGGAGTGTTTGCCAGGTACATGCACAAGTTGCACACGGATGGGGATATCCGGTCGAGGAAAGTCCACAGGCCACGACCACTCGCGACGCATCTCGATCTGAAGTAAGCCATGCACATCCATTTCGACGTTGCAGGGTCGTCGTGGGGGTGAGCTGAAAGGTAACAGAAATGCTCAGATGCCTGTTACGTAACAATGCCCAGTGCAAACAATCGAAGCGATCTGGACCTCCGGCATCTTCGCGTACATAGCGAAGTAGGTCCCAGAAACCCGACTTATCCTTAGAGGTGGTATTCATCGGAAGGCGCACCGTTACTGGCTCGGCCAGCATTGTGATGGAGGATAGCGCTTTCAGTCGAAAGGAGCGATTCAGAGCGAGCAAGGCGTGTAGGTGCTCGAGGCCACGTATCCGGCGCATACCAAGGTCTACTTCAATTGCCGAAGACGGCTCTTCCGCAGCCGCCATGTACGCCGAGACGATGCGACCTTGTACGCTGAAGGGAAGACCCGCCAATCTCGCCTGGCTCTTCTTTGCTGGGTGTCTGGCGAGATGAGGGTGAGGATGAAGCTCAACAGGGAGGCATTCGATGGACATGGGACATGCACCTGTTGGCGTAAGACACTCGATGGAGCTCACGAGCCCTTCTGTTGAGCTCTTGAATCGAAGAAGGCAAGTGCCGGATGAAGAAATTTGGACGCTAGCGAGCAGCTTTCGTGGTGTAGTCAGAGCGACTGGTCCATAGGCAATAGCAGCAAAGGCGGCGTCTGCTGCACAAAGCGCGTCTGACCGGTCTATATCGAGATCATTGGCATAATCCTGGTGGGCAAGAGCGTATTTGATGTGACACCAGTCCAAGCGAAGTTCCCAGAGCGCGCGCAGCAGGGGTAGGACCTCGAAAAGCCGTGCGTTTGATGTGGTAACCGGATGAAACGATTGCAGCTCGTTCAGGTCGCGACCGCGGTGAACGACGTGTACGATTAGGTGGCGAAGATGCCTTGCTTGTGATCCCAGTCCCAAAAGCCAACTAGTTGTGTGGTTCAGGGCAGATAACCATGTGGAACCCGATGCGGTCGCGGCAAGGAAACGGTTGCGGGTGTACAAGATGCCGACAGCTTCATGATATATTTGCCGGCATGTCGAAAGTAGGGCTACTGGAGGTACAGAATTCCAAGATGCATGCGCAGATGGCGGGACAGAGAGTGCTATCGGCTGCTCAAATTCGAAGAGCAGCTCGTAGACTATGTTACGTGCCTCACCCGAGAGGTTGAGAAAGCTAGGTGTCTGAGAATCGATCGGATGCGCCGTGACTTCCGGTATCGACACCGTATCTGCCGGAGGTCCCAGTGACAATCGCGGATACGCAGGCATGTTTCTGAAGGTGGAGATGCAGTACTATCGATATGTAGCGGTAGTCGAAGGGATGGAAACGGTGGAGGTAAAGAGGCGAGGGGTTTGCAGAGGCACCGAGCGTGTGGGAGAGGAGACGATACCCGATCGTCGGTGGTCGGCTGCGGCTTATTGATGCTTGCGCGCTGATACGCATCGATGGCGATGACGGAAGCGGTCGGCGCTGGGACTGCTACATTGATTGTTGTTAGTACTTCCCATTGACTGGTCGCATTGTAACAGGCAATGCTTAATGTGTCTGACGGATGCGTTTACAGCACCAGACATGACTTGGAAACTCTCGTAGGCTCACCAGAAGGGCGTGAATCGTCTGGAAGTCAAACAAACGCTGTTGAATAGTAATCCGAGAGTGTGGAGAAAGCGACACAGTATATGAGACGATATAGGCCGTGCGAATGGCGGGCTCGCAGTTAGAAAGAAACGATCGAGGATATGACGGATTTACTTGCTTGATGAGCGCGCCGGTGCCAAGATGCCATTGCGTGGTTGAGATTGAAACATGCAGCCTGCCATCAGTCGTGTAACATGGGAAGTGAAAAGCGACAAGTAGCGGGGTGAAGGCACTGCTCTATCCACAAGCGAGTCGCAAAAATACCTGTCCTTCTGATGCAATGAACATGGTAAGAGTTTGTAGATTCGATCCGAATATTTGGGACATATCGATCGCATCAACTGCGTTGTGGCCTGCAACCCAGCCGCGTGCTCGTGGCATTGCATGAAAAGTGGAACGACTAGGCGATGTTCTTTGAGGAGGTGTCGAATGTAGTTCAGTGTGTAAGGCGTATCAGAGGGTGCACGGGTCGAGACCAGATAACTGGATGGTTCATGGCCATTGTGAAGAAGAGGACAGCACTGCACCTAAGGGTGGCGAAGGGTCAGCTCTTGGTCATATGAGATGAAAGATCTGTCGCACTCCAACACATTTGCAGGAACAGATGGGTTTGGCGCGAAGGTGGAGAGAATCTTCGGTGGTAATTGAGATGGGGAGGGCGAGGTGGTTGGCGATGATGACGATGGCCGCGGGGGTCTGTGCGCCGTGCCAAGCAGACTTTCCACCATCCCCCACGTGGCCGACCGAGAGCCGCACTAGAAGGCTGTCCAGGTATCGACCTGTCTCTGCACCACATTGCCCGCCTCTACCGTTACCACCAGCGGCCGTACGTTCTGGAATCTCAACAGCGGCATCGCGCATCACGTCATCGGCTGGTCAACCCATCCACGCCCACTGAACCGGCACGTCCACATCGCATTCGGCCATGGCTGCGCGGCCGAGGTCACCAGATGCCCAAGTCTTCATGGGCAACTACTGGCTTACGCGATTACAGACATGAACGAGACCAACTCGTACCGGAGGAAACCACCCTGTTGTGCTCCAGTCACGCCACAGAGCCTCCTCAACGCCATACAACCTATCATCAGCCACCCTCGATCGCCTCCGACCCCCTACACCAATGGACACAACCTCTACACGTGCGGGAGGATGCGTGAACGGCGCATTTGCGTGTCACTGCAACAAGAGCACTATCTGGTCATGGGCAGGCTACTTCCATCGGCAACAACGACCCTTTCTCCACGACCCACCCCGCATCGAGGGGATGATGCGCCAGCTCCAAGCAACGGCGGTTCGACAATGCACGTACAATTCCACCGGCGCATCTCACTCACCACTCGTCGAGCGTCTCTCGATGTCAACAATCGGCGCTGTAGATCAGCTGCCCAACAGCCGAGAGAGACAGCGATAGTGCAGACTACAAGAACATATGATGGCGCGAAAATGGTCCCCTTTCCGTTCAGGGCGTACGATAGCCTCACACACTCTCCTCCGCTGTTGCGCGCGGGGTCGGAGCTACTACCGCTCGTCAATCCAGCGCCGTATGGGCCTCGGTCAGTACCCCATTGGAGTACCTAGCTTGCTTGGTACCTGAGGGGGGAAGAGATCTGAAGTCATACCCGCCTCTACCGTATCGTTCCAACAAGAGGCTGAGCAGATGCGCTGCCGTCTAAATGAGTAGAAATACACAAGTAGTGAGGAGTCTGAAGGCATTGTCGACATGAGCGTCTGGCAATTTGGAGCTGCTGCGATTGATAGGCCCTGCTCCGCGTGTATCTTTCGCGTCTTGTGATACACGACAAGAAAGCAGATGTCGCGCGTGACAGGCTTTCCCCCGAGCACTGCGCGAGTTGCTCGACTATCACAAGGATTCTCTCGGCAAAGGCCGAAGTCCATTTACTTCCATGCCTCCACTACGTCGCTATCGGCACTCAGCCGATGAACGGCATACCTATTATCCATTGTCTTCATTACTGGATCTATCTAGCCTGTCGCGCTTGTTCACGCTTGTTCACTATCCTCTCGCCCTCATGCCAGACTATACATTGGACTGTCCCCAGCTAAGTATGCCTACTTCACTACTCTGCTCCTCCGCTGGTATCTTGATCGATTCAGGCGCCCGAGCTTGAATCACTTATTCTCGTCTATTTCATTTTTTGTTTTGCGGTTCCATGCATTCCAAAGGGTCACTTCCTAGATGGTAACCGCTGTTTGAGAAGTATCAGTAATGAGCGAACTGATATCCTGGAAGGATACATGGATTTCATACATATACGCACGTTGTAACAGACGACCCGGTGGTCGACAAGGTAGAAGCCACGGCCCCAGTTGTCTGAGAACTCGTCTTCACAGCGTACCGTTAGCAGAACGCCTATTGAGAAGATGGCATAGCGAAGCTATTCTAGCCGTCGCCAGTGACGAACACATTTGGGGTGAACCGACTGTCACGAAACTCGCTTTCGCAACACATGTTCACGTCGCCAAATCATAACCATGTTTACGTGATTGAAGTGGATAGCCACAAGCAAATATGTTGATCTTCGGCAGTATTCCAAACCTATTACGCCAACAAGCCTAGCCTTGACGCATTGGTTAAAGCTTCGCAAGTCAATCCCCAGTGTCGTTGATAAGTATATAGCTGTAGTGGTGGACGAAGCTGTGCTTTCGCTGGATTTGAGTCAGTATTTAGCGCATTGGCGGACATATAAAGCGATGGTGTAGATGAGAATCTAGTATTCTTCTGGGGTGGTCTTCGTTGCTACCTTGTGGGGAATGATAGTGCACTCCGGAGAAGCGGGCTTCATGCGCGGGACTTTCGACACTCGCTAGTGATGTCGCTCTCAGCGTGATAGACAGCCAGCGATCGTCCCGAACGAAAGTAGCCGCACTCTGATAAGCTCTTTTGCACTCGATCGCGGGTACAATGCCGGAAGCTCGACATCGACGGGCGGGAAAAGAGCGTTATCAGCAACTTCTGCCAACGGCATACGGGATCTGAGGTTTTGGTGTAAGAACAGAGGGCTTATTAGCCGTAAGATACATGCGACGAGGTATCCGAAGCATTGAGGCTGGACACGCGCATCTACGGTCAATATCTCCCCA